TGCGTGTGGTAAAAGCGTTATTTTTAGTGGGCTGACTGTGCTTTCACCAGGCTTTATTAAAAGTGTCCACCTGACAAACATATCATTAATACTCAGGGGCAGAGTCTGCATCACTGAAATTGCCTGTTAGTGTTCATAGGATTCCCTTCAACCCATAAATATATTGATCAAAAGACATTGTTCAAAGCGGCAGAAAAACCTTCAGAAAACTGGAAGGTTTTGTGGCTACTGAAGTGGCGCTTTCTGGTTCAGAGGTTGATACAAAAAGGCAGAACTAATAGTAACATTGCCTGGCAATGTTTATCAACAACAAATATATACACTATATATATATATATATAGTATTGTCGCAGTGTTACCCTGTAAGCTAATGTAGCAGTGTTACCCTCTATGCTAATGCAGCAGTGTTACACTGTATGCTAATGTAGCAGTGTTACCCTGTATGCTAATGTGGCAGTGTTACCCTGTATGCTAATGTAGCAGTGTTACTATCTATGCTAATGTGGCAGTGTTACCCTCTATGCTAATGTAGCAGTGTTACCCTGTATGCTAATGTAGCAGTGTTACCCTGTATGCTAATGTGGCAGTGTTACCCTGTATGCTAATGTGGCAGTGTTACCCTCTATGCTAATGTGGCAGTGTTACCCTGTATGCTAATGTGGCAGTGTTACACTGTATGCTAATGTAGCAGTGTTACCCTGTATGCTAATGTGGCAGTGTTACCCTGTATGCTAATGTGGCAGTGTTACCCTCTATGCTAATGTAGCAGTGTTACTATCTATGCTAATGTGGCAGTGTTACCCTCTATGCTAATGTAGCAGTGTTACTATCTATGCTAATGTGGCAGTGTTACCCTGTATGCTAATGTGCAGTGTTACCCTCTATGCTAAAGTAGTAGTGTTACCCTCTATGCTAATGTATATTTATTCAGAAAAATAAAGAACAAACATTTGACCACTGCAGATAACGTCCTCTAACTGCGTCTCAACCGCTACGCTCCTTCATGACTGCGCTTTTAAAAAGGTGAGCTAGCTGCATGTGGCTCAAAGGCTCAACGATGCAGAAATTGACATCCTCAAATGGATTCAGCCTGTTACCATTTCCCCATGCATTTGCCAAAGAGTATTCCCACAGGGAATCAAACCTATTGCTCACTGACAGACACACACACACACACACACACACACACACACACACACACACACACACATCAGCAGGAACTGTCACGAGCAAATAGAGATGCCATTTGCCAGCGGTGAGAGGCTCCTATACCCATGTCTGCCTTATTTTATCCTCCTTTTGTCTCAGCTTGCGGCGGACTCCAGACTGCGGTCCACTCACACAGACACGGGGCTGAACATGAAGCTGGTAGGCAGCGGTGGAGCCGTCCTCTTGTTGTTAAACTAACATCCAAGAAAGCAGCACACACTATATCGCAGTATCTCGGAAGAGAAATAGGTTTATTTTTCCATTCCACCATGATGTTTTTAGAAAGAATTAAGAGCTCTTATGGCGCGTTTCCACCGAGCGGTACGGTACGGCAACACACGCAACACACTAGCAGCATGTAGCCTTTGCTCAAACAAAGATTGTCGTCTCCTTGTTGTCTCCTTGTGACAAACCAGCCACATATCGAGAAGCAAGAACCGGATAGAAAACTTAAAGCTAACCCCAAACAACCAATGGAGGACTCCATTGTTGTTTGCGGTTAGCTTTCAGTTTTCGCGCGATCGAATGACGTGAATCTACTTTCCGTCATATACCACGCCTTTCAAGTGACGTTATCACTACTTTCTGGAATACACCACGCCTATCAAGTAAGGGGACTGTTAGTGGTGGAAACACTCACCAAATCATGGTTAACAGACCCGACCCGTACCGAACCGAGCGTACCGTACCGCTCGGTGGAAACACGCCATAACTGACATGCAACATTCAGTAAGTATTTATTATATGGAAGCAACAGCAACCACTCAAAATTAGATCACGACTGACTAACTTAGAAATGATTTTCCCGTAGACTATTTACAGGAATAACTACGTCTTCTTTTATTTTTTTAGACAAAGTGGAAAGTGAAGAAGTGCTTCTGGAGAAAACAAATCCCGTGAAATAGTGCTCTTTTAAACATAAACACAAACCAAGCTGGCGACGGCTAAAAAGCCAAAAGAGGTGAGGAGGTGAAGTGCCCTAATGGCCATACGCTGGATGTTCATGTTGCTCTCACAGAATACAGGATGAAGGGAGCAATCAAAACATGTATTTACTTCCACGTTTTGACTCATTATTACCTCTTCCATGTCCATGAACAAATGTCAGGGTCACGTTCACAGTTCATTTTACGTCCTCCACATGCAAGCATTTTTGTCCACAGATTTCAGCTGTAATTTGGATTTTCCTGTCAATAACCGCGTGGCACTCACGTAAAGTCCCGTTTTCCAAATGAGCGCTAAAGGATATCACTAATCATCGTTCTAGCGTCCGTGATTCCTATAATGGATGGCAGGTACATGTGATTAATTGCGCTATAAAAAAACACCCCACATGTGATGACAGCTGTTGGTGCCTTTGGAGAACCTTTCAGATGAGACACAATATGTCCTCGCACAGACATGTCCAATGAGGGCAGAGCGGGCGCAAGAGTTTGCAAACAGTTGTTTGTTTGACGCTGTTTTGATGTCCATTCATGCAGGATCGGGGAGCGGATATTAAGGATTGAGCAAACCAGTTCCACGAAGATTTGGATTCATAATGAAAACAGAATAATGCATTAGTGTGTTTTTATAAAATCAAACAAATGTGTTTTTTATTTGTACATCACGTTTCGTGCTTTCGGTTCCAGGTTTCCACTTATTGTTTCTGTCCTGAAACATGCAGAGAATCCACAGACACTATTTTTCAACACTTTCAAGTTTAACTACAGATAAATACATTTAATTAATGCCATTGACCTTCATGCGCTAAAATCAAAGTAAGCTAAATTTCACTGACTCAACGCCAAGAGTCTCCAATCAGCCTTCACATTGAGTTTGGTTCGTGCCCCCTAAACACACGGCTGATAAAAGCAGACCGATTAATTCAGCCAATAATGGAATACGAGAGCGGCTGTGCGATTTACACTCCCCACTACCAGCGTCCGGCTCTGCATGTCAGTCAGATAATTGTCCCATTTGTCACCCATGAGTGTCGTCAATGTGTGGGTCCCAGCTCCTCGAGCTCAGCGTTCGCTGAATTAAAAAAAGAAAATGATTCCTCATCAAAGCGGACATTTGGACTGGTCGAAGTAGGGGATACACAGTTGTTACCAATGACAGTGATGATGACTCAGTAGGCCGAGACAGTGAGCTAGGATGCACAAAACCAGGCCCCCTGAAATCTAAGGAGCCAGCCTTTGTTTATATTTGTTTCTTCCTGCTATGACATATCCAAATATATCTTATATTTATATATATATAACTGAGCGAGATCAATCTGAGGCACATCCTGGCCATCCCCTCACATCTAAGTGCGATTATCCAGCTGATAGATGGTAAAGCTGCTCCAGGGTCAGAACTGAGAGTCTCTAAACTCCAGGACCAGGGCCGTGAACCCAAAGCGTAAAAATGCCTTAAGAGCGAGACAGCAACCTGCTACACAAAACAAGAGCGACAGACCTAGCAACCAACATTAGCCTTCCTGCGTACGTCTAATTATTTTTTAAATGTACCCTGGTCTGGTGGTTGGCTCGGGGGAGGCAGCGAGTCCCACGAGAGTTCTGGTAAATCTCAGGGTTGCCATCTGGATTGAACCCGTGTTATGGTCCTTTTTCCCCCTGCTGGTGCTCAGCGTGCCACCCGCAGTCAATCAAGCTCAGACACCTGCCACGCCCCTCGAGAGGCTGAGAGGTAAAAAGATAAAATACGAAAAGGAGCTTTTCTGATCACTTCTCGATCGATGCCAGAATCCCAATCAGCTCAACTGGCCGTGACTGCACGCACACCTACAAGGGATTCAACTGTATTTTCCACTGCTGTCAAAAGCGTGAAACTGGTTGAATATAAGCATGAACATTAACGACCATGTGCGAATATAAATAAAGAGGTATACAACAAATAACAACAACAATGATCAAAAAATCAGCATCCACCCGGAGGTTATTTGGACCAATCTGCCTCCACGCACGACGGCCCTGTTTGCTCGCACTAAAGGCCCGGAGCGTCGCTTGGAGACGCTAAAGAGGCCTCCGTGGGGCACCATTGGTCTTTCTAGGGTTGTGAGTGAGACCAGGTCACCCCCCCCTCCCCCACTGCCCACAAGACATGTATTCCTCCTCTCAACATGATGATGATCTCAACGAAAGACTAAGTTTGCATTTGGACTCAATGTGATTCCAGTTGGACTTGGTATGGACGGTCCAGTGTGGTTTCAGGACGTGTCGTCCTGTTGCATGATGGGCTGCAGCACATCCACTAACCTGCAGCATCTACATTATCATCATCAACAACAACAACAACAACAGCAGCAGCAGCAGCAGCAGGTCTCTGCTCGACACTGTGTGGGTCGGATTTAGGCGTTATGGAAGCCGAGATGGAGTCTCTGTTTTTGACCTAATGAAAATGCACCGACTGCGTTGTGGACAATCCCCGCTGGGACCCCGCACCTGCCGACAACCGGGCCTCTTACCGGCTGCTTCACTCGTGTCACCCCGGCGTGCGGCGGCGCTTCGACCGGGCACGAAGCCCTCTGCACACCGGCGGTGCGTTTACTTCCATCCAAAATACCGGTTGCGCTATTCGCTCTGGAAAAGCGCAAGGTTTTTTTTTTTTCCTCCCCCGGTAGCCACTCCTCGAATAGTCAACAAACCGAGGAAGCGACACAATACGCCGCCCCCCCCCCCCCCCACCCACCAGCACCACCCAGCACCACCCAGCACGGCTCGCAACGCGCCCGCCACGGAGCCGTTTTGGGCCGTTCCGCGAGAGCAGTCGGCGGTTCTTTGGGGATAAACGAGCGCAGAGCTCACCTGCGTTCAGCAGCGGGGTCGCTGCGGGCTGGAGGTCCGCTCCGCCACTGCCACACCATCCTCCATCTTCCCCGAAGCGGCGGCTGTCTGCCCGTGTGTGTGTGTGCGTGTGTGTGTGTGTGTGTGTGTGGTCGCCGGCCCCTCCTCCCCCCGTCGGACGGGGAACGACGGGTGCTGAAGCAGTTTGCAACAAGAAATCGACTCGGAGCTGAAAAGCTGCAAGATCCATTTGACAAAAAAAGAATTTGCAGCATTGTGGAACAGGCCTCTTAAAAAACAGATAATGACAACAAACAGATATCGATCTCATTGCAATATTACATATTTTTTTCTATTCTTATTTCACGTTCTTGTGTTTTTATTTTCTTTACATTTTTTATTGGAAATTCACCTTACTTTGCATGTTTCAAATCTCCACATTGTGTGTAATTCTGGTGGAAGGAATTTCCATTTTTTTTTTTGCCACATTCATGTAGTCAAAAACATCAAAATAATCCCTCAGATCAGAGATATGCAATATGTATAATTGTTGGAATTCCCAGAAATGCCATCCCAGTCACAGCGACAATAAGGGTAATTAAATAGCATTTTAATATGCTTTATTTATTTAATTATTCCTCATAACATGAGACATGACATTTGGACTGGTCGAGATACACAGATGACAGTAATGATGACTAGGCCGACAGTGAGCATGCACAAAACCAGGCCCACGTTGATAAATGTAATTAATCCTCAGGCTGAAAGAACCGATTGCTGACAAAGCCAAATGTTATCCTAAGACATGTTGTTTCCTGAGTGAATTTAAATTAAGTCCTGTAGATCGCAGTGACTCACAAAACACCTACTTCGACAACATGGGAGATAATGAAGAGTTGTTGCCGTCTTGGCTTAGGCGTGACTTGGCTGCTGATGTTTTGGCAGAGTGCAATGCATCCGGGGGCATCGGCCTACTGCACCAAGCATCGAGGGACGTATTGCTTCAAAACACCGTATTTTACATCCACATTGATAGCCTCATATAGCTTGCAAAATATTCCCCACACCTTTAAGTGTGTTTGTAAGTAGTGGATCCCTACTTCACTGATTGGTTGGTGGACGGCTGTTATGAAGCCTTGAGGTGCCAATTTGGCCATTCTCGATTTTTGGCAACAAATTACCGAAGGGACCATATTTTTAGAATGCAGGGGAGTGACATAGCGCCACGTATACTTCTTATACATAATTTAGTAAAATAACATCATGCTGTATTGAACAAAACTTGAAATTCAAGGTTGAGGCCATAAACTGTTTATAATTTTCACTGAGTGAATAAATCAAGAGAGAAGCAGAGTCATTTTCTCATAGACTTCTACACTCACCTAAAGGATAGGAACACCCGTTCAATTTCTCATTAATGCAATTATCTAATCAACCAATCACATGACAGTTGCTTCAATGCGTTTAGGGGCGTGGTCCTGCTCAAGACAATCTCCTGAACTCCAAACTGAATGTCAGAATAGGAAAGAAAGGTGATTTAAGCCACTTTGAGCGTGGCGCGGTTGTTGGTGCCAGACGGGCCGGTCTGAGTATTTCACAATCGGCTCAGTTACTGGGATTTTCACGCACAGCCATTTCTAGGGTTTACAAAGAATGGTGTGAAAAGGGAAAAACATCCAGTATGCGGCAGTCCTGTGGGCGAAAATGCCTTGTTGATGCTAGAGGTCAGAGGAGAAAGGGCCGACTGATTCAAGCTGGTAGAAGAGCAACTTTGACTGAAATAACCACTCGTTACAACCGAGGTGTGCAGCAAAGCGTTTGTGAATCCACAACACGCACAACCTTGAGGCAGATGGGCTTGGCGTAAACAGAATGAGAACATGGATCCATCATGTCTTGTTACCACTGTGCAGGCTGCTGGTGGCGGTGTAATGGTGTGGGGGATGTTTTCTTGGCACACTTTAGGCCCCTTAGTGCCAATTGGGCATCGTTTAAATGCCACGGCCTACCTGAGCGTCGTTTCTGACCATGTCCATCCCTTTACGGCACCATGTACCCATCCGCTGATCCTTCCAGCAAGATAATGCACCGTGTCACAAAGCTCCAATCATTTCAAATTGGTTTCTTGAACATGACAATGAGTTCACTGTACGAAAATGGCCCCCACAGTCACCAGATCTCAACCCAATAGAGCATCTTTGGGATGTGGTGGAATGGGAACTTCGTACCCTGGATGTGCATCCCACAAATCTCCATCAACTGCAAGATGCTGTCCTATCAATATGGGCCAACGTTTCTAAAGAGTGCGTTCAGCACCTTGTTGAATCAATGCCACGTAGAATTAAGGCAGTTCTGAAGGCGAAAGGGGGTCAAACACAGTATTAGTATGGTGTTCCTAATAATCCTTTAGGTGAGTGTATATGATCACACTTCATTTTGCAAACGGGTAAATTGCCCCCTGCTGGTCAGTGGAGAGAATGCAAGTTATGCAGTTGCTCCACCTTTGCACGAGTAGATTCCATGCAGTCAATGCAGATGCAACATGGTGGCGGAGGAAGCACATTTTCAACGGGCGGCGCGCAGGGTACAAAAGACAGGAATACAGGGAATTGTCTCGCAAAAGCCAATCTGCATTGAGATGCTCCGCTCGTCATCACCATTGTCCAGCTGCCATAGCGTAATTACACTTTATGAAACTTTGCACGTAATTTAGCTGACACTTTTATGCAAAGCGATTTACATTGCATGGTTTCACATGTTTAACCGATCCCACACAGCGGTAGTAGTGTGCAGTCATGAGGGAGCAGTTAGGGGTTGGGTGTCTTGCTCGGCGTTGACATTAGCTACAATCAATAGTGGGGAAGAGAGGTTGCCCTGGCAACCTCAAGGTTGGCGGTTTGAATCCTGGCTGCTCCGTGTCCCACGTCGCCCTAAAACTGCCACTGGTGCTGCGCAGCTGAGATTGAATGCCTGTAAATTAGTTGATTAGTCCGACGTTTGTGTAATTTCCACGACGAGTTCAGAGCAGGAATGGTATTTATTTCCATAGTGGACAGCAGAAATGATAACTGTTTTACGGAGACAAGCTGCAGAGATAAGCCACACCCCCTATCCGGGAGGCGCATAAAGCGAATGAAGACAAATTAACCAACTGGTCGGGCGCAACATGACCACAGAGCTGCCAACTTTTCAAAAAACCTTGGAGTGAGAGGGGTGACCAAAATGTTGCCACGCACGCAGCCACACACGTTGGTGGCTCAAATATCAGGAAATTGGAATTCATTTGGCGTAGTACCCATGTTGTACCCTGCATTCTGGTGGTTTGTGGGGCCCAAAGTGGTTGATAGGGGCGGCCTACTGGAGATGGACAACATTGGATACATTCTGTGAAGCAAAGACACAGCTGATGGTCCACCCCCAGGACATTTGGGTTTAAGTAGATGTTATTTCATGCATTCTAGTGGATCTTTGGGTGGTATGCCTGAACTTATTCTGATTCATGTTCATGTGCTCATGACTTGTGGGGCCTTCTAGACTTGAGCTGAACATTCAACCAGAAAACTATTGTTGTGCCTCAATGACTGTCTATGTACCACAATATAGCCTAATTAATAGACCTGTGTTTAAGATTTGACCAATTTAGGTTGATTGACATTTTGATTACAATGGTATTCAACTAATTCTTGACTTAACTGAAACCTAACCTATATTGTTAATAATTGTATTCTTAAGAGCACTTAATGATTTATGTTCAGCAAAAAATGACAGTTTTGTTAGGGAAAAATATTTTCATCATCAAACAAAAAAGTGCAACAAATAAAGTGCTTAAACAGTAGCCTTTCAAAGGAAAACAATGGATACACATAATATAAATACACATAAATAAAATAACAAAAAATGAGGTTTTTTTATTAAGCATTGTAACAATGCTTTTTATTTTATTTATGTTTATGTGTATGTTTTGAGCATGCAGGACACCAAGAGGTGAACAAGGTGCTCTCCTGCTGCTGGTTATGACAGCTGAGTTTACATTCACCGCTCAAAATCACACGCACAAACACAACTAATCATTTCTGTGAAGATTTAAAGTTTAAGAGAGTGAGTACTTAATTGAACCACGTGTCATTAACGTACCTTAGTCTTTGCTCCTCTGGGACTCTTTGGGGTAAACAGGATGTCTATGCAGCGAATAGGTTTACAGGTGCGCTCCTTAGCGCCATCTACCGTCGGGGAGTTTGAAAAGGAACGAACGCGCTTCGGCCCAAAATCAGAATTTTTTTTTTTGCCGTGAGAAATTGGTTGTGTGGCGTGAGTGCGTGTGAAAACATGCAGAAGCGTGTGTCTCACGGCAAAACCGTGAGAGTTGGCAGCTCTGTGACCACGAGGCGGTTAAACCGTTAGTCAGCGTTCCATTGCTGCCCAACGCCGTGACTTGGTCGACTAAAAAGTCGCTCCCAAGCTGAAAAGGTGTGGGCACCTCTGCTTTAATGTTAGCTTTGATGGACTTGAAGCCTTTGTTTGTCGACATTGGGATTTTGTGCATGGTTTTAGTTTAATTAGCGTTGGCCGTAGCTACAATCAAGTGTTCGGCCTGTAGTAACCGAACTTACAATAAAACTAGTTAAATGAGTGCCATCACTAAACCAGCAGGTAAATAGGTAATTCCCTGAGATCTTAAATTGTTTTCCTAACCGCTAAACGTATCATGGACTAAAGGTATATTATTGTCTGTGAAGAGCAAAATGAAAGACAGGAAAGCCTCTGTGATTCATTTCTAACCCCACACCTGGATTGCAAATTGTCGCTACCATTATTCCGTCGTTATTTCAGCCACTTTTGGCATCTCGGTTTCCAGGCAACTGGAGAAAAGTGAACGTTAAAAGAAACCGTATCAGTATGTTTTTCAAATGAGAGTTTAAAAAGAACTGAAAACGATTTAAAGAGCAGAGTTTCCAATTCCTGATTCTAAAACGGCCGGGCATTTAGCCGACGCTTTTGTCCAGAGACTTAAACGTGTTCATTTAAACCAGGACAAAAATCCAGAACAAGACTATTTACAACTATGGATAAAAGCCATTACGAGATGAATATAGATGAATGTCCCGTCATCGGCATGAACGGGTTATGAACTTTATGCAATTTCTAATGACTTTTCAAATATGAAAGTATATAGAATTGTTCAAAACCCCAAGATACATTTGACATGAGTTTTTTAACACCACAATAAGTCTGTGGAAGCATTAGGTGATGGCTTAACTTCAACATAAACTCATTTCAGTTATTTTCCAGCCATACCGTACAAACTAAAATCAACAAAAACCTTTATCCCAGATGAGCTTTATTCTCTTGGTAGGCAGATGACAAAACATTGAAAGTGAAGATAAGACTTTACCTCTATAAATAAATAGAAAATGTGAGATGCTAGGGATTATTCAGGAAGGACGTACCCTCCCCTGAAAACACTCAAGAATAAATTAGAAAAAAAATAAACAATAGCAACATTCTTTTTTTAAAAGCTTGTTAAACCTTTAAAAAATATATTTCTGCATAGATAGTCTTGTATTCAAAGTTTGTGTTCTAGGTCTGTACGGTTGATAAAATACGCCATACAGTTCGGATATGCACCCGTTGTCAATGAACAAACTTAAAGACTACATGGCTCAAAAATACTAGTTTCAAGATTATCTATGCTCATGTACACAGTGATTTTGAGGTGATACAGCGTCTTACTTTGTAACTCTAAGTACAGCGTGGCACGGGTTACATGGAAGCACATGGAGACAGTGGGACGGGCTTGTTTTGGCTAGCCAACCTGTGCACAGTGGCCACGAAAACAATTTGGTTTGGTTCCCCTCAAAATGTGCCATTTCGTCCTCAGGACCGAGCCGGTGTGAGCGATCCGACCGTACCTCTACATACGGATGTTACGGCACTCCAAACTGCATCGAGGGAACGACGGATGTGACCACGTGGTGTGTGTCACAGTGAATATTGTGTCGCACCGAAAAAGCCAAAAACGGGTCAATTTTTTTTCTTGAATTCAGGAAAAAAACATCAAAAAAAAACAAAACATCTTCCCTCATCAACTGAGCTGAGACGATATATTTGAAGCTTTCCTTTACAGGCAAAGAGCCGCCTTCTTTTGGTGGCCCACCATTTAATCTCAAAAAGACAACACACTGTGTTAGGATTGTGCCATGAATTACATACCGTAAACAATTAAAAGGACGACTTGAACGTCAAGACAGTTTATCGTACAAACTGTTGATGTGGTTTGACCTTTTGTTACTTAACACTTCCTTAACAATTCAAAAGGACCCTGTCCAAAACTAAAACGGTTATTGGAGACACCACACAACCATTGGTCGCTCGAGTGACGTCTCCTGAAGCTACCGTGCACGTGTACTTAGACCAGCGGGACTTGCTCAACAAAACGTATCAGGTCACATTTAAGCACGCAACGTAGTTAAGTTAGTTAGCTACTGGTGTGTGTGATCATATATATATTATTCATTTCTGTCGAAGGAATTGAATGTATCTTTTACAGTGTTCATTCTGTACCAATGACATCCATTGCAATCAGTCCATCCCGGGAGAGGGATCCTCCTCTGCCGTTCATCCTAAGGTTGTCCCTTTATTTCTACCCAATCAGTGTTTTTCATGTTTCCGGGGAGTGCCTGATGTGAGGGTTTTGGGACAGCGGATGTTGAACACGTACAGACTGTAAAGCGCCCTGAGGAAAGATTTGTAATTTTGGGCCATACAGAATAATTATCAATTAATTGGTGACGGTAAGGTTTCACACAAAACTAAACCGTACCACAACAAACTGGGAACTTTCTTGACAAGCAAAAATTGTCCTTAAAATTGTCAAACACCACCAGTGAACATGGCACAATTAAAAAAAAAACCCCCACTGTTGACCACTGTCAGTATTTCTTCTCGGAAATAAGGTGGGGACTAGGAAGGGAAAGGACTTCGGTTCTCTTTTGAAGAGACTGTGCAGATGCACCTTTAAGTGCGTGCCATAAATTATCTCCCAAACTCTCCAAAAAACAAGGAAAGACCGTCGACCGTTTGCCAGCCGCCGGGTCGACCGTTTGCCAGCCGCCGGGTCGACCGTTTGCCAGCCGCCGGGTCGACCGTTTGCCAGCCGCCGGGTCGACCGTTTGCCAGCCGCCGGGTCGACCGTTTGCCAGCCGCCGGGTCGACCGTTTGCCAGCCGCCGGGTCGACCGTTTGCCAGCCGCCGGGTCGACCGTTTGCCAGCCCGGTGCAAAGTAACAGACATTGAAAAAACAAAAAGTAGTGTACCCCACAGAACATTGCCTATAAATGAAATAGTCCAAAGTGCTGCTGAGTTGTGTGACATGGCAGCATATAGCACCAGCGAATGTTGGGGAGACGCGGTCGTCCGAGGTTGAATGTCAGTGCCGCTGAAACCGCTCCCCCGCTTGTAGATTTGGTGCTTGGGGTCGGCAGAAGGTGAAGACTCGCGGGGCCAGCCAAGACTTTCTTCGCGCCGGACGCAACTTGTTCCTTAAATGAGGGCGAGCTTTTTGGTTTTCTGTTGCAAGCGACTGTAACTTAGCTACATAGTTGGGACTTGCTGACAGCGTTAACCAGTGAAGACTTGAACCAGGAGCAGAGACCCCTGACAAAGAGGTCCCCGCCTTCAGAATGGAAATGTAAAGAACTATAGTGGTGCTTAAAAACCTGCCACTGCACTAAGGGAGTACATGTTAAAGCATTTTTAAAAACAGTTGAGTGTGAATATTATATTGTCAGATCCAGTGATTTAAAAAGAAGTACGCCTGTTTTCATTATTTCTCATTCATACTTGTTTTTCCTGTCGTTTAAGAAAGTCACAGAAATATGAATGAATCAAATGATGTGATGTCATCAAGGGTAAAACCTGGAACTATCAAGCTATAGACAATGAGTTGGGAAAGACGGGAATACCTTTGTATTCGGGTACATGGTCTGTTGCACAAACAGGGCTTCTCAACCTTATGTTACTCAACGCTTCCATAACAATCCAAAAGGCCCAGATTCCAAAATAAATGATAAAAAAAGAAAGTTACAACTGGGCTGTAAATAGGTCTGTCAGCTGTAATGACAATATTAAATATTCCGTTCACCCTTCATTGCCTGCCGGTATGAGTACAGATTCATCACGACAAACTGGAGTTTTTGGTCTTCAGAGTTGGTCTCTCTTGGTAATTACATTTGATTTTTGCCGTTTTCTATGAATGGGAATTCTTCAGCACATTTAGATATGAAAATAACATTTTATATTGCCAAAATGAATTATATTTTTAATAGAATCCACCAAGTGGTTGAGAAGCAGCTGGAATTACAGTCACTAGGGTAAATAAATTAATGAAAAAAAAAAAAAAAGCAAATCAGTCTCCCATTCATTGTCCAGACTTTATACTTGATGACATCTCAAGTTTGAGAGTGCAGCTCATGGCCCCAAATATTGATCAAGGTTTACTTCTTTAGGGCGGTGTTCATCTTTGATGTATTATAATATTTGCTATTAACTCCAAAGGGCCAATAAAACACAAGAAAATAATGTGGGACTAAAAAAAATAGAATGTAGATTATTTCAAATCGCCCCATTACTGTGAAACTATACCTGATCACTTTCATATTAACAATTTGGAATCCATTTTTCCTTCACTAGCTGAAATACCCTTTACATTTTTATGTCATCTGTTGGGGTTTTTAGAAACTGTACTTTTGGGCATAAATTCTCCTCCACAAAGTCAACACGCCTCCTCCTATGGCAGCCGTATCTGGATTCTCTGCTGAGATATTAGAACAGATATTACAAAGACAAGAAAATGCAGTGGCGAGTTGACCTGAGGCATTGAGCCTCCTCAATGAGAAGCGAATCGGAGCCTTTTGCCTTTAGGGTCCGTTTGTTTCCATTCTGAAGGGGGCACTGGCTCAGGTAAAGCTCCAGATGTTTTTGTCACCGAACGACGTCTTTGTTCTCCAGGACCCCGTCCTCTTTGCCCACTGTCAGGAGAACGGGGACAGGACCCGCGGCGCCCCGCTGGCCGCTTTCTGAAGTCAGCACCGCAGCCGAAGCATGAGGAGTTATAAGTTAGCGCTACAGGTAGGTAAGCTCATCCTAAATCGGCGTCTAAAGGCAACTTACAGGTTAGAAAGACAGACGGGGACTACCTGTCTCTCTACCGCTCAAGGATGTTGAACGATGACAGTGTCCAACCACTTCCTGTACGCCAGGGCGAAACGTCTCTGCTCGGGGTCACAGTCGCTGTCTAGGATCCCGCTCACGAAGCCGTGCTCGGAGGGCAGGGCGGGAGCGCCAGGGGGCAGGGCGCCCCGCTTCAGTCGCTTGCTGTTGCGGGGGTCCGGCAGGGACGCCCCGTCCACCTCCATAGCTTCGCCGGCATGTCTCTGTCCATTCACACCGTCCTCCCCCAAGCCCGCAGGGCTTTGCGCGCAGGCCTTCAGCGGCCCCTCGTCGCCGTTCTCCAGACGGTCCGGCTCGCTGCCTCCGTTGCTGCCACGGTGGCACTGATGTTTGTGTTCCCTCCTCCAGTCGTGCCACAGGTAGTAGACGTGCCGCCTGGAAGAAGGGAGGGGAGAGAAAAGAAGGGGTTTTTATGCAGGTGGCCCAGGGTGAAATACTGAAATGATATCTGTTACATAATACGGAAGAAGAAGAAGATTAAAGTGGTCATAACAACAAAAACCTTCTGGGATTAAAGTCTACCAGTGAATGTCCTTGTTTCCAAATTTAAGATACGATTGGAGGGATCCTTGACTGAAGAGCAGGGATTTGATGACATTGTGTTCGTGAAAAGGCAGCTGATGAAGGATCCGTCCTCCTTAAAAGCCAAAATTTGTTATTAACTTAACTAACTTATTATTTGTGATGCACTGAGGTTCATCGAGAAACGCCACAATAGTGCTTAAATGCACTGCGGTTCATCAACTTCCTGCCGGTTACTCTGTGCAGCATCACTGGTTTTAGACCATATGACCACTGATGAGTAACTGCTTAGTGAGATCAATGTAGTACACTCATACGGACAAGACACGAGGCCACCCTTTTTATCGCACGCAAACTGACAAACTACAAACTACCCCTCTGGACTAACTGCAGTGCTCCTTAGAGCTATATATTTGAACTTCTACGGCCTCACCTGTGGCTCCAAAGCGTCTCGTGGCCGGGGAAGGACTGGATGAGGTCAGTGCACAGCTCCACCTCCTGGTGGAAGAGCTGAAGGAGCGCGGTGGAGCTGAGCTGCCTGCCGTCCTCACCCGCCTCCTCCCCGTTAGCTTGGTCGTGGTGCGGGGGACTGATGCCGGCGACTGTGCTGCACCTGTGCTGGAGTACACCGGTGGAGGTGGTGGTGGTGGTGGTGGAAGCTGCAGCCTGAGAGAGCTCGGCGATCAGCTCCTTGAGGAGGTACTGACGGTAGTGGAAGCCGCTGTGGTCCGACACGTGCATGGACACCCAGAGGCGCGTGGAGGACAGCTCATCGTGGAACACCTGAGGGGAAAGGTGGCCGTTTTTAAAGGAGCAGCAGGAAGGAGACGTGACATATGTAGGTGGAGGTTCTTTGGCCGGGGCAAACACCAGGTCCACGTGATGGATTGTGTTCAGTAACGGTCGCACAAAATATGTTCGTTCGCACATAATCACCACTCATCAATTCAAGCTTGGTATTAGGGCCATCGGAGTTTCAAAAATGTATTTATTGAATATAATAATAAATGAGCTGTATTGTCTTATTATTGATATTCCTATGTCTATATATATATTTCTATATATATATATATATATATATAACGAGTTTGCGTGCGACTGAATAAATTGCTTATGTTTTTATATATCAAAAATATCAGAGGTAAAGGTAGGAAGTGGAAAGAAGAGGAAATGTTCGCTGAGATTCGTAAAGACTCAAAGGAAACGCTCTTAATTAATAAAATCCTCATTTGCGAGTCGCTGCAAAAAAAAGAAAGAAAAAGGAAATGATATAGATCCAGTGAATGCTTAATATCTTATCTTGTTTGTATTTAGCTAGAGATGCATTCATGCGTTCAACCCAATTATAAGAATATAAGAATAGATCAAGAATTAAAGATAGTTCGGTCACAATTTAAATCATTAGAGCGGTAACACTTTATATAGTTCTTTTGAATACAAAAGTCCCGCACATTGATCTCGGAATAATAACCCTCTGACCCAGGCACGACAATAAGCGCTACTTTTCCTGCAATGGCACACGGTAAAAATATCATGCAAACAATTTCTATATTTTATCCTTTTACTTTGTCATAGTAATAATGGCAGTTCAAATGAGGAGCGAGTATCAGTGATCAACCCTAGACCCTCAGTCATGGGAAGGTAGTCAAACCTTTACCCTGGTTGAAATATGAGTAAACGCTAACGGTAAGTGGCTGAAGAGGAACGTCAGTAAAGTTCCGCCTGAATGGAACCCTCCGATATTTTGTCCTGTTTTTTTTCAACGCAGTTGAAGCAGTAGGCTGTATGCGGGGAGAGAATTAATCTGGGTCAGATCAGGTTACTTTTTACCCGTTTACTTATTTCCATTAGGCCAAAAGGACCGTGGTGTTCACAGAACGGTCAAACTGCAGCACGGTGCGACTCCTCCTGGTCCTACCTTGACGTTGCCCGTGGCCATGTGCTGCAGCACCCAGATGCGGTGGGACCAGGCGTTGTAGTTGCTGGGGTAGCGGCAGGCGGCGTCGGATCACACCTTCATCTCCTGATGGAGCGTCCTGGCCAGCTGGTCGTTGAGCCGCCGGCTCTGCTCGCCATCGTCTCGCTCCTCTTCTCTCTGCGGATCCTTCTGGCTGCGGCCTGAAGACTGAAGCAAGAACTGCTGCAGCACTCAGCGTCTTTGGGCGGAGGGGGGGAGAGGGAGGGGAAGAGTCATGAGACTACTGTTTGACTGCGTTGTGTTAAAAGAGCACAGAAAACGGGACACAAGGAACGCATCAGAAAGAGGCATCTTTCCGTCACCGACTCCCGCTGGAGGACGGGCAGCTTGTGTTTGAATTAAAATTCAATCTGTCCATTTACTACAAAGTGCTGCTCGTCTTCATGGACAATATAGCTCTAAGAGTGTTGTGTTGTGGACTTGTCCAGAGGCCAGGGAACCGGGCCCAGGTTGATATTGGCAACCAGACACGGAATAGTCCATGGTCTGGACATAACACACCGACGGCACAGGGTTGATTAACTGTTGACTGTTGATTAAGTAATTAATTAAAACCAAACAAACTGTTCGTCAATTACCCTTTTGCCTTATATTTTGATGCTTTTTAATGGGTTTTTTTAGAAGCACTTGGAATGGCTTTGTTGTTCAAATGTACTGTACAAATACACTTTGCACAGGGGGAAAAAAACAGGGCGCTGTTAACGTGCTTCTCTGCGTGGAAGGACTGCGGGGGAGTTTAGAGAAGTGCCTCCTACCGGTGTATCCACGTCTCTGGGCTCTTGGGGAATTTGGTGAGGGCCAGTTTGCCCAGGTAGAGGTCCTTCTCTGGGCTCAGCGCTCCGCACTGCAGCAGCTCCTTCCTGCAACGACAATCGGCCACGCGTTACGCCAGACCTTTGGAGGACGGCGTCTTCTGCCGCGGCGGGGCGCTCGACGTCCCGTGGGGGAATGCATATTTCTGTAGCCGCGCTGTAGGGCAGGAGGGGTGTCCGTACCTGACATTCCATGCGGTGGTGAAGTCCGGGTTCAGCAGCAGCAGGGTGCAGGTGATATCCGCTAACGCTGCAGGGACACACGGAGAGGAGCTCCACGTTATCATCATCGTCGTCGCATGGCGTTTTGACATCAATTATCAGCTCATCAACACGGCTCCCGCTACACAATACGCTTTCTATACATGTAGGGCTGCAACCAACTATTAGTTTGATAATCGATTAATCGGTCGATTATTTCTTTGATTAATCAGATTTTCTTTTTTAAACGCATTAAAAAGCTTTAATTTCCAACCCTTTATTCTAAAACAGAAGCGCAAAAATTGCAAAAATACTTCAGAAAGTACAGGTTGCTCCTTGAACATAATTTATAAAAAAAAGAAAATACAAATAAAGATTTTTTTTAACGTCAGAACTTGTTCTCTATACTACACTCAAACTCTCACACTAACACCTCCATGTTCACTTGAAGCTTATTCATTAAATTATTACCATAATTGTAGTGCAAGTAAATGTATACAGCTAAAAAACAACCAAGTACTAGGAGATGAATTTAAAATGGCATTTGTAAATAAATGCATTAGAGGCTTCTTAGTTGATTTAATGGATCACCGTGTGTCTCCCTTTACATCGACTACCGTATAACCCACAGTATGTGCGCAAGCGCACTGGACTACCGTAAATGACAGCATTAAAAAGGACAACACACAAAAATATATTTGTCAACAATAACCGATGTGGGACAAAGCACAAAATATATACAAGACAACAGATTGAAAAAGGAAATGAAAAGGTCCAAAAGAGGCGAGTAAATAAAAACGTCTCTTAGTCCTGCTAACTGCTTTACTGCTGTTATTAGCGAGCTAGTGCTAGCTTGATCAGCTGGATGACGAGTAAACAGGAGACTCGTTACGTTCCTCACGTCAAAACGGGACAACGTGGTGCTCCCGTGCCATGTACCCCCCTCGCACACCTTTTACGACTAGTCGAACAGACGTCTCTGCCTGCGTCATGTGACTCACAACAACTGCTCATTTTAGCTTTTGATCATTTTAAATTTACTAGCAAAAAGTCTGGCGAAACAAAATATGGTTCGACACTCCCTTTTCTTTATCACAGTCATCCACAACTAGAAAGTCCACGTTGTTCGGTCCGGTGTAGGAACCCGTTCCTCTGCCCGTATCCTTCATGGAGGTTGAGCTCCCTTACCTTCCCTGTCCAGCCAGTGCTTGCGCTGGCGGTAGAGCAGCAGCTTGTTGTGAACGGACGGCAGGAGGAACTTGACACACCAGCTCTCCACGCCCAGCTTGTTCTCCACCAACACGATGGGACTGCGGTTGTAGCGGGCCTCCGGACACGGGATCACGCCGATTTCGTCACTGGGGGAGCAGATGGCAAACAATGAAGGTAAGGGAAGGGTTTCACGTGTGGCGTGAGGACAGGTGTTTGGAAAACCTAAATAATGTTTTCTTTTAGTCAGCGTAGTTCAAGTAAAATGAATGTAGAGCGCCGTGAAGTCTGTGACCTCCCAGCAGAGAAGCCTTGTTGTGTAACTGTTGTGTTATCTCAAGACGGGGACGCAGACATATTGGAGGATGTACGTCTCATGTGCATAGGTCATAACTTTAAAGATACAGACCGTAGACCTTGATGTATGTTGTGTAGCAACTTCTCACATCTATGTACATGTTTCAACTCTGCTCCCAATTTTTTTTTTACGATCACATTATTTACTTTGAATGCTCATAGTTTATATAGTACTAGTTTAACCACGCTCTCAGACAAGGGTGCGTAACAAAAGAAATCAACATCGACGGCCCTGCATGGCAGAGGATGGTTTCACGAGCTCCACCCACTGGTACTCACTATTGTAGTACCCACAATTATGGTTGAGACTTTCATAGAGAGTCTCAAATGTGGTGGGACTTCCACACAGAAAGACGCACTGGGATTTCCAACACAGTTCAAAGTTGAGCCAGACGCGTGGCGCTGTACGGCGACCCGAAACACAGCGGGGACGTTCAGTCTGCGGCTGCTTCAGCGGCTTCATCGCTCTCGCCATCAGCCACTGTACCTACTGCTCCCAACTTTAACAAATGCCCTGTTTAAAGATTTTACACAGGGGTTGAGTAAATAAGTAACATCAGGGAAAAGCCGTGCGAGCTTTGTGTCTCATTCTCAGGAACATCCTGGCGTTTTCATTTCAGTTGGCTCTTTATAGTCCAGGTTGAATCTTGAATTGTTCGGGGAACATCAGTCAGCAACATGGCCTTTTTGAGAAGTTCATGTCTTGTTCTCATGCTCCTTCCCACACTGCGAGTTAACAGCAATCCTACAGGCTCATGTCATATGATGACATCGCTGTCAGAAGAGATTTGGAAAGGAATCCTCGTCAGAATGGAGATATCTGTAAGTTTGTGATTGATGCCTGGAAAATCGTGTAAATTGGTAAACAAGTATAGGTCAGGATTGAACCGTCAACTAAAAATATTATAGTTGCAAGAGATGCCTGCGTGGCGTGCATTGGTTGTACAAAGTTCTGAATAAGCTGTGTAGAAGCACAGCTTTCAATTCATAAACAAAGAATTTACCAGCTTTCTCTCCCGGTTGTTATGCCAGCTGAAAAATCACAAATGTATTCCGTCACTCCTCTCAAGTCCAGAGTTACATATTACTTCTCATCATATCACATATTATGGTTCTCATCTCATGAATAAGTGCTTTATAAATCATATTTTGAAATACTATTGCAGTTCTGCAATAGTATTTCAAAATATAATATATATGCAGTAATGCCATTTCAAACATGGAATAAATGGTAAGTGGACTTATTCACGTACTTTTCTAACTACATGTCATCATCCAGCCATTCATGCACTGATGACGGGGGTGAGAGGAAGTTGTGGTGAAGGGTCTTAACCAAGGACACATGGACACAAGTGGAGCCGGGAATCGAACCGCCGATCCTCTGATTGAAAGACGACCCTGTCATTTAAACCGGATGAAATGGACAGCTTGTCTCCCTTTGACATGCATTACATAACTGGTAATGGCTCGTTAGCTCGGTTCAGCAGTAATGTATTCTACCCGGTCGGTAGGACGAAGCTTACAGCAGCGCTTCATTTAGTATGTGTATTCTAGCTACATAGATGAGAAGCTAGTGCCGTTAGCCTGTGGAAGCATAACGTTAGTATTCAGCCTGACGCCGGTGTACCCCTACCAAAGGGACTATAGTAGCCATGTAATAGGGCGGGAAAACAGAAACTGGTAAAATAAGAAACATTTTTAAATATTGGTTTATTGAATTGACGTTAATTCATTCGAGTAGCTTATATTGTGGCTTCGTGTCGAATGTTTTTAGTTTTGACAGCCTCCTTCACCACGTCTAAAGGAGAGCTAATGTAGACTCGCGAAACATAAACAACGATCTCAACGTGGTGTTATTTAACGCCAAAGGGGCAGCTAATGGTCTGACTAGGAGCCAGTTCCTCTAGCTTTTACAGAATAAACAAACACACAGCTAGGCTAGCTAGCTAAACTGTCAACTTTCCCCGGACCGCTCTGACTCCAGGTAATAGTCCGAGCCCACGCAGCTGAAAGGCAGCCGTTGGGCTCGGGGACCCCGGCAGAGACGCAGTGCCGCTCCGGTCCGTCTGGTATGTGCACGGTCCACTATACTCACATGTTGGGGTTTCTCTTGAAGGCGTTGGTGATGTCTTTGACAACTCTCTGGACCAAGACGTCCACCTCCTCCTCCGACTCGGCCATCTTTGAGCCACCCAATGACGTAACATGGAGCAAAAAGTTTTTCCGGGTAAAAAAAGAGGGAAAAAAAATCTACGGAAGCCGGAGAGACGTTAGGCGAAGATATCACGAGGAGTGATTTTTATGCGGTCTCTTATGTCATATTTATGAATATAGAATAAATGAGATGTAATAAACGGCTGATCCTGTCTCTCATTTGTTTTGTATGAACATTAATTTAAGTAGTTATTGTGTTATTTTTTGAAAAATGTGCACACCTTGAAAGGCTGAAGCAAAGCGATGTTGGAATTCAGCTGCGAATCCCTTTCAAACATAAGGCTTAAATGCATATTTAATCCCCTTTGAAGAGAAACAAATGTTGGTAAATAAATCTAATGTAAGCAAACCTAATTCTATCATTATTCCACAGAAAACAATGATGCATTGAAGAATAAATACAAATGCTATTCTCGTCCAGTATAGTTGGGTGAAGTTAGCCCAGGAGCACCAGAGGCATGAAACTACAAAATAGAATTAAAGCTGCAAGCAGCGATGAACGGGGCCTTCGCCTCCCCTTGCATGCCGGGGGGGCAGCGCTCAGCCGGATGCGCGGTCAAAAAAAGTTAGTCTGGGATGGGATGTGAACTTGGCCCCTACACACACTGACCCTAGATTAGCCTGTCGGCCACAGACCTGCTGTACTGAAAGCTTTTCATAAAGTTAAGATCAAATTTATACAGTCAGGTCACACCTGTTTCAGCGTGTCTGCAAAACACGGGAGCTGTGGATTCACTGTGCGGCTCGAGACGCTCCGGTTAGCTCGCCACCTCGTTTCTCTACATGAAACTACAAAATAGAACAACACGTGACCCCAAACCGTTTCGGTGAGAATGCAGTTTCACAGTTGGATTCCATGCAGGATGATTCCTCACTGCTGGAGTTGTCCATGTTTGAGGAAACCTCTCCTGAGTCAGATGATTCCGTGTTTCAAAATCGCTAAGATATTCATGACATTCGTCTGAATCACACGCAGGGCAGACGACCATCAGGTCAAAGGCAGCTTGTGTATAAGAGCTTCTGTGAGCGTAGTCAGCCAGGTGACTCATGGTGACAAAAGAATGTTCCAAGGCTTCCTCAGGTGTTATTCTCATCTCAGCATCTGGATTGAGCAACATTTGAAGGAGATTTAAAAATGCCTTTGTGTCTTCAACTTCAACATCCTCAATTGGATTTGAATATTTGTTTACTGCGTCCGCCAAATTGCTGATATGGTCAAATTCCCACTCTGACAACCGCAGCTGGTCGTCATTTTTCTTCTTGTACTCTTCTGGTGTCTTCAGTCTCCATCGTGAATTGGGAGTGCAGCGTTTCCTCTTGAAATACTGGTGAGTGTTTTTTCCAGCATCTAGCAGGTGGTCTTGTGGCTGACCGAGCAGACAGCAAATAGTTTTCATTACGTCGTACGATGATTGTCCATTGAAGATGTTCTGACCAAAAAACAGACATGCCAAGAGACATCCCAGTGCCCACATGTCAATGGCAGCAGATATGGGGAGGCCCAAGGACACTTCTGGTGCTCGGTATGCACAAGGTTGTACAATCATTCCTTCCCATACGTCGGAGGCTGTCATGGCCAAACCAAAGTCAATTAATTTCACTCTGAAGGGCTCATCTTGGTGGTTGACGAGCATAACGTTGTCAAGTTTCAGGTCTGTGTAAAGGAGGCCGATACCCTTCAGGGCGTCGAATGCTACAAGTAACTGACGGGTTATAGGACGGATTTCATTAAGAGTCAATCGTTCCTCTCTCTGTAACATCAAATCCCAAAGACTTTTGTCTAGCAACTCAAAAGTGATGCAAGACTTGTCATCGACTATGAAACTGTCCATGAATATTTCTCTCTGGGTCAAGTTTCCTGAGCTTTTCCAGCATTTCTACTTCCTCTGCATAATAATTGTCGTCTTTGAGGATCTTGACGGCCGTATTCTCATTTGTTTTCATATTGACACACTTGGCTACTTTGCCAAAACCTCCTTCTCCAATAAAGTCCAATACTTTGTATCGTACAGACTTGTTGCGGAGTATGAAAAGCTCTTTTTCCTTCAATGGTTCTGGTGAGGTTGGAGTTTCACAGTTAGATTCCATGCAGGATGCTTCTCCAGTCCTGGAGTTGTCCATGTTTGTGAAAACCTCTTCTAAGTCAGATGATTCCATGTTGCGTTCAAAATCGGAGATATTCATGACATTCGTCACACGCAGGGCAGACGACAATTAGCTCAAAGGCAGCTTGGTATCTCTGGGTCAAGGGTCCTGAGCTCTCAACCAATTCAACTTTTGCTACTTGATAATCAACGCCTTTGAGGATTTTGATGGCCTGACCTCGGGGGGATCGGAGATCCTGACACTTTGTGCAGACGTTTCCTTGTTCAGTGGAGAAAACGTTCTTTTGGTCAAAGTTAGAGAAATCTTCACAACTTTCTCACTCAAGAGCTCTGCAGTGGTCCCTTCTTTTCAGTTCTGAGTTATGGAATGGAATGGAATGGAATGGAATGGAATGTCTTGCCATTGTCAGACGCTGCATGAGGCCGGAGCCGTTGCTGGCACAGAGGGATGAAAATGAAAATACATTTATTGGGCAGTTCTTAAGAGGGGAAAGTAGCATGGATTCTTTCATAATTCTGATTTTGGACCCAATTTGCCTCAAATGTAAGATCACATTTTTACCTACATGACGGAAACTGTAGGATAAGATTGGCCATATTTTGCAAAGATTGTATCTTTAGACATTGAAGTTCTTATCTGAGAGGAGCTGTGGGTATATTTCAAAGCCCACTGTCCTTAAATACTGCATGCTCAAATCAAGCCTCAGTTCTTATTGTTCTACAGCACGGTTCCTTTCTTTAAAGGTTTGGTTCTCTTTGTGATGGTATCACCATGTCACTCTCGCCTATGGAAGTACAGCTAGCGCTGGTCAGGGTCTCTGAACGTATGAGACATGCTGGTCTTGAAATGGAAATAATGTCCGTTGAGGCTGTGGTCTCGTTGTGTTATCACCCCGTCTCCTCCACTGTTTATCTGGAGCCAATCTGGTGACGTTTGTTGGAACATAAATATATGTTATTAAGTCGAAGCAGAAGAGAATCCTGAATGTCACCAGATGGGGTCCTAAGGTTTCCTTGTAGGGCCTCGTCCAGTTTAACAACATAGCACCAGGGTTAAGAGGATCAGATTCTGCGCCGTTGCCCCCCTGGCGTCTGCTCTTCACCTCATAAGCGTGCTTGGACAACAAGCATATTGTCATGTGTTTCTCACCAACAATCGATTTTTAATCGGATTTTATTGTAGCAGTATATCTCAAATCTTGATTTCACAAAGGATGTAAAGCAATTGCCCTTTGATCCCACATGAGCACCCGACAGACCTGACGGCAGGGGGTGGTATGTGGCTATTACAGCCCTAAACCCTGTGAGGAGCCTTAGGCTGCCAGAGAAGCTTGCAGAATGAAGCTCAAAACATTACGCAATGCAGGATTTGCCTCACAGAGCAATCTCGACATTTTCCTCCTGCAGTTTGTTTCCCTGTTCTGAATCAAAGAATTCACTGAAGATATTTTGTTTAGGCAATGGAACAGCTTGACAGTCATTTCCTCCCCCACCTGGAACTCAGCAAAGCAGGCAACTTCACTTCAAACAATCTTGCATAAGAGATGGCGAGCACTTGTGGAAACTGGGTTTTCCAGTTGCGAAGGCATTACCAGTTCTTTTCCAACTAAAAGCACAAAAAAAACCATTAAACAGACAACTAATCTCACTCTTCCTTTCAATCATGTGTGTGCGGTATGTGAAGCTCAGCAAATGGTTTTTGCTGAATGACACATTTGAACAACATCTGAGCGATTGCTTAAGATTTGAGAAATATGGTTATTTTCTCTGAATTTCCAGTTTGACTATTCTCCCACTGGAACAGCTGTGTTAGATTCCATATTAGTGAAGTAAAGTAGCTCAAACTTAAATTAGCTATTAGGGTGTTAAAATTAGGGAGTTTGTTGGGTAGAAAGTGCATCAGGTACAGGACAAAGTGACCTAAATGTACAATTTACAAAAGGAGTTTAGCGTCAATGACTTTCTTCCAAGGCAAGGTTTCCATAAAGCTCAGTATGAAAATCCTCCCGCAGTCTCCATATTCTTATTACAGGAAAGTGTTCAGCTGCCCATTTCCAACCAGAGGCTTGAATTAAAAAAAAGCAAATTGCAAGTGGCACTGTGAAAGTGCAGCTTTCACACAAATCATGATGACTTCTAACCCTCCAACTGACAGTCAATTGCTTTGCATGCCCTTTTAGGGTAGAGTTCCGAGTCTATGGCATGCTCAGTGGGTCATCAAGAGACGTTTTATGGCTTAGTTAATATTTATTGCACAAAAAAAAAGTAGACAACGTGGAGGGCATAATTGGCTACACACAAGTGAACCTTTAGCCACTCAAAATTTGATGCAGTTAAGTGCTTTTGAAACCATTGGACTCAATATAGACATTAGTTTAAAATCATGAACTTTGCCTTCACAACTCTCAAATAGCCCATTAGTATCGCTCCAGGCCACAGTAGAATCTGCCACCGGAAGGGTAAATACAGACAAGAGGAATTGAAAATTAGAGCAAGCACAGATTTATCTTCCAGGATGGTAAAGCTGAAGATCTGGAAAACAAAGCTTGATTAGGATGAACACCGCTTATTATTAACAAGTGTTCCATTTACATTGCCTTGAAAATGCTCATTGGCTGTCTTTGACAGGTTGTCCAGGGCTGTTAGCAGGAAGCGGCATGGGTGGAAACAGGACCTCTCCAGGAATGTAGAGAGTTTGGGTGAACTGGCGTCTTCCATTGTTGTAGCGAGAGCGGGACTTGAACGAGTACACGGGCTCCAGGTCCGACACGTCACTGAACACAGGCTTGGACGCTTCCTCCTCACCCGCGGCAGGAAACGTTGCATAGCCGCTGTCAGAGGACCCGGAGTAGAACGCAGGCCCAGCGGAGCCCACACCTGCGTTAGCGTACCAACTGTTGT